CACAACGCCACCCAAGCTGTCACCAGCGAGGAGGTGTGGGCCGTCACGTGGGCCTATCTGAGCAACCACATTCTCGCTTCCTTCTTTCACGGCCGTTGGGCGTTGGCGGGGCGGAGGGGGGCGGGGGGCACAGCAGAGCCCTGCAGCCTGGCTGGGTCCTTGTCCCTGAAACGGGGAAGCCGCTCTGGGCCCACGAGGCAGCTGTCCCATGCTCCGCTGAGCGTGGCCGGTGAGTGCTGGCTCGCAAAACCACAGGGGGTGTCCGGGGGTGCCCAAGGGACGGGGGTGGGGGTGACATGCCCAAGGGACCAGTGGTCCCGTCTGGCAGCAGACAGCGGGGTGGGGGGGGTAGGCCCTGGGCCGCAGCCCCTGGCGAGGGCCACCAAAGGTCGGGGGGCTGGGGGCCAGGGCCTGCCGGGAGCCCATGGCTGCGTTCGGCTCCCCACCACGGCCACCTGCCCCCTCGGGCGGGTATGCCAGCGCCTGCTGGCCTGGGAGCATTTGGAATTCGAACAATTGGAGAAATTGGGAGCGTTTCTCTAAAAATCAGCCTATTCCCCCCACACACACACCCCTTTCATGGTGGGGCCCCGGAGCCCAGAGCAGGGAAGGAAGGGATTTGCTTGAGAGCAAGGCTGGGGTTCGGTCTGGGGGACGCCTGGGAGGGGCACACGGTTTGTCCATAAAAATGTCATTTCTGAAGCCGAGATCTTCATGCTTTTTGGTAAGACAGAGGCGATAATGCGTGGTCATAGGGAATGATTGAGCTATCAGAACCAGGGTGCCATGGCTGGCAAAATAAAACAGGAATAATGACACCACTCAATAATTTGTATTGGGGGTGCTTTAGGGGCAAAAAGTGGTGGCCATTACACACACATGAACACACACACACACACGAACACACACACACAAACACACACACAAACACACACACATACAAACACCATACACACAAACACACACGCGAAGACACACACATACACACACAAACACCATACACACAAACACACACGCGAAGACACACACATACACCACACGAACACACACACACACACACACACACACACACACACACACGCATACACGCACCGTAGGCCGGGGTCAGGGCTCTGGCTGTCTGGAACCCTTTTCTTCCCTCCCAGGCTCTGGTTCTCTCCCTCTCCCGTCTGGGTTCCCAGGCCAGGCCTCTCAGGTCCGAGGGCAGCGGGCTCCGGAGGTGGCTCCCCGGCCCCAGGCCCCGGATTGGCTTCCTCTGGGGTTGCCTGGCCGGCTGCACCTGGCAGGGCAGATGCCTCCCTCACCAGGCCTGGCCAGCGGCACTGGGGGAGGGAAACCTGGATGTGGACACGGCCGGGCCGGGCTGCCAGGCTGGCTCAGCGCCTCCCGGTGGGAGCAGGGCCTTCCGAGAGGCTGGGGACCCTTGGCGAACCCTGTGTCCCCTTTTAGGAGATGAGAACACGGGGGCATGGAGGGGAGAAGCGGCCGCTCCGGGGCGCAGGGCCCCCAGGAGCTGATAGCCCAGGTAACGCCCTCAGACCAGCGCCTGGCGCTCTGCCTGCACTCGGCAGATGTGATTTCCTAACCCGGTGGTCGGCAAACCACGACTGGCCAGCCACATGCGGCTCTTTGGCCCCTGGAGGGTGGCTCTTCCACAAAATACCACGGCCCCGGGCGAGTCTATGTTGAAGAAGTGGTGTTAGAAGCAGTTTACGTTTAAAAAATGTGGCTCTCCACAGAAATGTCAATCGCCGTCCTGTTGGTATTTGGCTCTGTGGACTGATGAGTCTGCCGACCACGGGCCTAAGCGGAGGCCAGGCTGCCCCTGCCCCCGGGGCTTGTTGTGGAGGCAGATTCCCAGGCTTCCTGCCCGGGCCTCTCTGACTGACCATGTCAGAGGTGGGTCAGGCTGCCCGGGCTGGGGGCTTTCCAGGGATGTGGCCCTCCGGGTAGAACAGCAGTGCCAGCCGCTGGCCTTTACGGAGCACTCCCAATGGGCCAAACCCGCCACCCGGGCCACTCACTTCACCCACAGCCCCGCGAGGGGCCTGCAGCGCCTGCCATCATCCCTGGGTTGCAACCCGGAGTCCGAGGCTCAGAGGGTGAGCTCCGAGGTCACACAGCTCCTGAATGATAGGGCTGGATTTTTTTTTTTTTAAAATACCGTATTTTCCGGCGTATAAGACGACCACCTAATTTTACAGTTAAGACATAGGTTTAGGCCTATATTCGCTGTAGGCCTATACCTATGTTTTAACTGTAAAAATTAGGGGGTCGTCTTATACGCTGGAAAAATACGGTATGTTTTTATTGATTTCAGAGAGGAAGGGACAGACGGAGAGAGATAGAAACATCAGCGATGAGAGAGAATCATGGATTAGCTACCTCCTGCACGCCCCCACTAGGGACTGAGCCCCCAACCTGGAATCGAACCCGGGACTCTTCAGTTCGCAGTCTGACACTCTATCCACTGAGCCAAACGGGCTGGGGCTGGATCTGGTCTTAATACTGGATTTGATCCCACGTTGGGCCAGGCTGCGCTGGGACTGGGGTGTGTGTGTGGTGAGGGGGAAGGCGAGGGGTCCCGTGGGCCTCAGTTTGACCTGCTTGTGTGTTTGGAGCCGGCCCTTCTCTTGCAGCTGCTCAGATCCTAAGGTTCCAGGAACGTGAACGTTGGGACTGCTGGGGACCAATATGCTGAGGGGGAGGCCACGCGTGGCCCAGGTGGCTGCACAGTGTGGTCCCTGGAGCTGGAGTGTATGTCCCCCTCTCCCCGCACCCCCCCCCCCCAACCCCAGGTAGGGGCTCAGCAGACAAGCAGGGTGTGACAGCTCTTTGTCGCTCTCTGAGCCCTGCCCCGCCCCCTCCTGCGGTAAGCGGCTCTTTTCCTGCCATGGGGGGGGGGGGGGCTGAGGTGACAGGGGCGGCCGGAGGAAGCCCCCGCTCTGGAGCTGTTTTCCTAATCTGTAGAATGGGCATCCTCGCAGCCCGTGTGGAGGGAAGATGAAGGAGGCCCCTCCTAGGATGGGATGCTCCATCCACAGTGAGGGCTTTAGTTTTTATAGTTTATATTTTTATTGATTTCAGAGAGGAAGGGAGAGGGAGAGAGAGATAGAAACATCAGTAACGAGAGGGAAATCATGGATTGGCTGCCTCCTGCGTGCACCACCCTGGAGATCCAGCCCACAACCCAGGCATGTGCCCTTGACTGGAATCGAACCTGGGACCCTTCAGTCCGCAGGCCGGCGCTCTATCCACTGAGCCACGCCGGTGAGGGCTGGAGAGGGCTTTCTAAGACATCTCTGGTTAGAGTGTGTATTTGAGCCACTATCTGTTATATAAATATATTTTAAAAATAAATAATATTTTTATAATTATATATATATATATAATTGATTTTTTTTTTACAAAGAGGAAGTGAGAGGATAGAGATCTAGAAACATCGATGAGAGAGAAGCATCCATTCAGCTGCCTCCTGCACACCCCCTACTGGGGATGTGCCTGCAACCAAGGTACTTGCCTTTGGCCGGAATCGAACCTGGGACCCTTCAGTCCACAGGCTGACGCTCTATCCACTGAGCCACACCGGTTAGAGCATCGCCCCCATTCTTTGAAGCAGTGGGACCTGTTTGACAGATGAGGAAACCGAGGCTCAGAGAAGGTGAAGTGACCTGCCCAGGGTCCCACAGCTGCTAAAGGGCCTCCCCCGTGCCCCCACCCCACGCCTCTGCAAGCACCGGACTGTGGGGATGGGGGCCGGGGTGAGGGCCCCTCTCCGTGGCATCCTCCCAGCTCCCAGGCTTCAGACCGCGGGGCCCTGACTCACCAAGAGGCCTCTCCCCACCCAGGAACCGGTGGGCTGGGCCTTGAGGGCTTGCCCCTCCCTCCGCAGGAAGTGGCTGAGGGCTCAGCCTTCCAGGAACTGAGAACTGAGGTGGGGGTGAGTGTCCTCACAGTTATGAAATATGAAATACGGCTCTGAGCCCATAGTGTTCCCCACAGCGCCTCTGCCCCCGGGAGCGTGGGGGTGGGGCCGAGGTTAGGCCCCACACTCTTCCCCTAAGGGGCCCTCCACCCCACGTGCAAAGAGCCAGACCGGGGAGAGTGGGACAGAGGGGTCGGGACCACACACCAAGAGGCCCCCGGTCCAAGCAGGTCGCGTTATCCTGTGGGCCGGTGGCTTCCAAGCTCTTGGCCATGGACCCCCATCCGCGGATGAGTGCATGGATCTACGGATGAACTGTATATGGGGACGCCTCCACTCAGATCCTATGATAAATGTATCCAGAAATGGGGATCAAGAAGGGGAGCCCTAGCCAGATTGGCTCAGTGGATAGAGCGTTGGCCTGTGGACTCAGGGTCCCAGGTTCGATTCCAGCCAAGGGCATGTACCTTGGTTGTGGGCACATCCCCAGTAGGGGGTGCACAGGAGGCAGTTGATCGATGTTTCTAACTCTCTAGCCCTCTTTCTTCCTCTCTGTAAAAAATCAATTAAAAAAAAATATATATATATGATGACATAAGAAGCTCTAATCGTTCATGTTTTCTTTAAAAAATTTTTTATTTTGTTTTAATTTTTACTGATTTTAGAGAAAGGAGGAGGAGGAGGGGAGGGAGGAAGGTTGACTTGTTGTCCCACTTACGTATGCATTCACGGGTTGATTCTTGTATGTGCCCCGAACAGGGATTGAACCCACAACCTCCGTGTAGAGGGACGACGTGCTAACGAACGGGTGTATGGCCACGGCAGCTCAGATGCTTTCTGTCTGCTCCCTGTAGCCATCCATTCTGATCAAAGGGGAAAAGGTGCTATTGGCGGGGAGGGGGGACTAGGGGGGGTCTGCAGGCGCCTGGTCAGAGGGTGCCCAGAGCCGAGCGTCTGCCCCAGAGCAGACACCCGCCCAGCCTCCCAGCCGGAGGGGGGTGGGGGTAGGGAGGGCTCGGCAGCCCAGGGGTGGAGCCGTCCTGACGCCCCCTGTCCGTGTCTCCCTGCAGGTGCCATGCCTCTGCCGCTCCTCCTGCTGCTGGTCCTGCTGGGCCCCGGCAGCCGCCTCAGCCTCGGGCTGCCGGACGGCCAGGGGGATGCGGACGAGGACGACCTGGGAGAGTACGATGACACGTATGTCACGGACCCTCCGGAGATGCTGGAAACTATCGCAGGGGCTGGGGCCCCGGGGCCCGAGCATCAGGCTACGATGGGAACGCTGGGGCAAAGAGGTACCCCCGAGCCAGCCACTCTGGAGGCGACCACAGGAGCAACCCCTGGGAAGCCCAGCACGGAACTGGCCACATCGGGGGTTCCTGTCACACCGGGCCCTCTGACCACAGAACTGGACACTACCACCCCTCCCATCACAGAGGCTCCGTCCACAGCGGGGGCTCCGTCCACAGAGCTGGCCGCCGCAAAGGCCCTGCCCACAGAGCCACTGACCACGCAACGCATAGCCACGGAGGCCCTGACCACGGAGTCACTGACCACACAACCCACGGCCACGGAGGTCCTGACCATGGAGCCACTGACCACACAATCCACAGCCACGGAGGCCCTGACCACGGAGCCACTGGCCACGCAAACCACAGCCATGGAGGCCCTGACCACGGAGCCACTGACCACGCAAGCTGCAGCCACGGAGGCCTTGACCACAGAGCCGGCTACCACAGCAGCCCCTCCCACGATGCCCACGACCACAGAGACCCTGTCCGAGGAGCCGGCCACCACGGCGGGTCTCTCCACGGCCCTTCTCGTGCCGTCTGACCCTCACCACGGGGGTGCCACCGAGGCCATCGGCAACTCCTCGGACGCCTCCTTCAAACGGGGGAAGAGCAGCCAGGGCCTGCCCACGCCGAGCCCCACGCGGGGCCCGGATTACATGCCCGTGAAGCACTGCCTGCTGGCCATCCTCATCCTGGCGCTGGTGGCCACCACCTTCCTGGTGTGCACCGTGGTGCTGGCCGTGCGCCTCTCCCGCAGGAACCACATGTACCACGTGCGCAGCTACTCGCCCACCGAGATGGTCTGCATCTCCTCCCTGCTGCCCGAGGGCGGCGAGGCGCCCGCCCCCACGGCCAACGGCAGCCTGCCGGCCGCCAAGGGCCCGGGCCTGAAGGAAGGGCCCCGGGAGGACCCCAGCGGGGATGACCTCACCCTGCACAGCTTCCTCCCCTAGCGCCCCCTGCCTGCGGCCCTGGGCACGGCCCCCACTCCCCGCTGCCTCCCTCCGAGGCCGCCACCCCTGGGGAGGGGTCTCCAGGGCAGGGCCCTGGCCACTCCCCCAGGACCGAGGGCAGCCAGGGTCCGAGGCCTCTCCTTCCTCCTGGCCGCGGGAGCCTCATGCCCACGAGCCCAGGGAAGACTCAGGTCCCCTGCCGGCACCCACCGCTCTGCTCTCCGGTCGCCAATCACCATGCATTTGGGGTGGGGGGTCCTGAGGAGCTTGGGGGGTTCCTGAGGCCACTCCCGCCGGACCCCAAAGGGGGCAGCTCGGCTCTTGTCAGCTCCGCCGCCGGGAGCCCCGGGTGAGGTCTGTCTTTCTTTCTTTCTGAGTTCCCACTGAATATTTTTAAGTAATTCTTTATTGTGGAGACTATTGCCTATGCCCCCTGTCTCCCCTTGCCCATGAGGCCACCCCTTACCTGAGACTGCGTGGGCCAGCGAGCTTCTGCTGGTGACAGAGTAACCCCACCCTGCCCCCTCCCGCGACCCCGGTGTCCCAGGGGCAGGCTGGGCTCAGCCCTGTTCCCCGGAGGGCCCCGTGTCCTGCTGCCCAGCCCGGGCCCAGCGCAGGCCCCGAGTTTGGCAAATTTTTTAAAAATATTTTTTTTTATTGATTTCAGAGCAGAAGGGAGAAAGAGAGAGAGAGAGAGAGAGAGAGAGAGAGAGAGAGAGAGAGAGAGAAACATCTGTGATGAGAGAGAACCGTTGATGAGCTGCCTCCTGCACGCCCCACTCTGAGGACTGATCCCGCAACCCAGGCCTGTGCCCTGACCGGGAATCGAACCGTGACCTCCTGGTTCACAGGCCGGCGTTCAACCACTGAGCGTGGCCACACTCGGCAAATGTTTGATGAGCGTGTGCTGGCTGAATGCTTCAGACATCAAGGGGCCTCCTTCAGGGGGGGGTGGCCCTTCCCTCCAGTCCCACCCCCGTCAGGAAGCCCATGCACAGGCTGTTGGTTAACAGTGTTGTGTCTTGGACACAGTGGGGAGGGGAGGGCCCGTGGGGGGGAATGGGGGTGGGGAATCTTGGTATAACCCTGAGCAGCTGGGGAAAGTTTCAGGCCGTTTGGAGGTAAGGGAAGGGACCCCTTTATTTAGCCCCCTCCCCCTTTGAGCCAGTTCTGGCCTACAGAATGGCCCCCCAATCTCAGACAAGTCTGCAATTCAGTGCCAGCCTCCCCAGGTCCCCACCATGTCCTCTCCGTCCCACTTGGGGCCGGACTCCCATGAACACCCAGGACCCACCCACTCCCCCCCACAGACTCCGTGGCTTTTGTCCAGCTCCCAGGAGTGCGCACAGGCTGTCATTTAAAAGCTCGGGGCCGGCAGACTTTTCCTTAAAGGGCCAGGCAGGACATATTTCAGGTTTGGCGGGGAAGCTGGGCCCCTGTTGCAACTTTTCAACTCTCTTGCCATACTGCCGGTGCCGTGCCACGACTGATACGGTGTTTGGCTGGTTTCTAATAAAACTTTATTTATAAACAAGCAGCCGGCTGGATTGGGCTCTGTGCGTTTGCTGACCCCTGACCTCAGCATTGGGTGACCAGAGGGCCCCCACCCCCGTCTGCCTGAAACGTGCCTGATTTTATTTTTTTCACTTTTATTTATTTATGTATTTATTTTTGGTGAATCCTCACTGGAGGCTCGGCTGATTTTGGGGGAGAGTCTAAAAGAGGGAAAGACGGAGAGAAACATCAGGGCCCCAGGCAGGGGAGGAGCCTGCCACCAAGTTACGTACGTGACCTTGACCGGAACTGAACGTGACCTTGACAGGAATTGAACCCGGGTCCCTTTGGTCCACAGGCTGACGCTCTATCCACTGAGCCAAGCCGGTTAGGGCAAGACTTGCCTGATTTTAGCCCTGAAGTCCCCTGTGGCACCGGATTGCGTGCACGCATTACCACTTTCAAAACCCTCCTTGGCCCCGCGCTCAGGTCAGAGAGTGGAGGCCTCTGGAGGTGAAGCCACAGGCCCACCGTCTGTGGCCGGGCCCACCGTCCGTGGCTGGGCCGGATTCCGCCTCCGCCTCCTCGTGCCTCTCAGTCATTTTCCTACAGGAAGCGAGCAGGACCTGGCGCCTCTCGCCCACACCGCCCGGCCTTCTGGAAGAAAAATGCACTTCACCTCAGGGGAGGCGTTTTCTCTTCTAGAAAAATACCTCCAGGGGCCTCTCTGGACTCGAACGACCCTCCACTCCAGGATGTAACCTGCACACAGAGATTTCAAAGAGGCGGGGGTCTGAGGCACTGGCGGCATGCTGCCCAGGAGAGAGGGGGAGGGAGGAAGAGGCAGGGCTGGGGCAAGGCCGGGGACATGGAGGGACGCCCTCCCCTGCCCTGAACCCCCAGGACGAGTCTCATACGTGAGGCAGGTGCGTTCGAGGTGCTTTGGTGGAAGAGGGGTGTCCACTGCGGTCCGGGGCAGCCAGCCCTGGAGTAAAAGGATTGATGCATTAGGAACCCCCTGTCACCCATGTCCCCTTCGGGCGTGATCAGAAAGATCAGCTGGGAGGCTCCCCCTATGGGGTTTGGGATTCAGAAGCTAAAAGACTTGGGGGCAGCTGAGAAGCTCTCTCGGGGTCCTGTTACCTCGTCTTTCATCTTTCGGGGTGGGCAGCGGGTCTCCCTTTCTCCCTGGGGCCTTAGAGGGTCTGGTGTTCTGTGTGTCTCTCTGAGGTGCCGGATGGAAGGGAATCAGAGATGATGGGTGCCTAAAGCAGCCACCAGGGGGCGCCCGGCACCAGCTCTTAGAGACACGGGCAGCCCTGAGCTGTCTTCTGTCCAGTGTTTGAGGATGAAGGGCTGCTGGTGGTACCCAAGCCACGACCTGTCGTGCTTGCCAATCTCCTTGGTGTAAACACTTCCGCGGCCAATTTTGAGCAACCAACCACTCCTTTGGTAGATGATAACAATCCATGCAAAATAGCTGAAACCGGTTTGGCTCAATGGATAGAGCGTCGGCTTGGGGACTGAAGGGACCCAGGTTCGATTCCGATCAAGGGCATGTACCTTGGTTGCGGGCATATCCCCAGTGGGGGGTGTGCAAGAGGCAGCTGATCGATGATTCTCTCTCATCGATGTTTCTAGCTCTCTATCTCTCTCCCTTCCTCTCTGTACAAAAACAATAAAATATATATTTTTTTTAAAAAAAACAATACGTGCAAATCACCCCAAGGGCATAAATAATAGGAGAATGTCATAAAGTAATTAGACATGGGTGGGTGTTGAGTATTGAGGACCTTGGTTTGTCATGTCACATAGTTCAACTCATGAGACAACTGGCTCGCAAGGTTCCGAAAACTGGACAGTTGGCTCTTGGACACACAGGCCGGCTCCTGCCTACCCTGGGCCCTCCCTCCTGCCCCGGCCTCCCATTGTCCTTGGACGTCAGCGCCCGGATGGCCCCGCGAATCCATTCAGCAGCATCTCCTTGAGTCCCTCCCAGCACCCTCCCCCATTTTACAGACGGGAAAACGGAGGCTCAGAGAGCCGAGCTCACCTGCCCTGGCTCATGCGTGAATGAAGCTTCGGGATTGGAAGCCAGGCCTGAATCAGAAAGCCCATAGCTGTTGTGTTTTGTTATTTAAAGAAAGCCACGTCCTTACCACCATGCCACACCGTCCAGAGCAGTGGGGTTCTAGGGGAATCCCATGCCCCAAACTCTCACCCCTGCCGACCAGCCCTGGCGCCTGGAAGTCCCCACTCGTCACCTTTCTTTAAAAAACATTTTTTAAAAAATATACTTTATTGATTTTTTTACAGAGAGGAAGAGAGAGGGATAGAGAGTCAGAAACATCAGTGAGAGAGAAACATCGACCAGCTGCCTCCTGCACACCCCCCACCGGGGATGTGCCCGCAACCAAGGCACATGCCCTTGACCGGAATCGAACCCGGGACCTTTCCGTCTGCAGGCCGACGCTCTACCCACTGAGCCACACCGGTTTCGGCCCCATTCGCCACCTTTCGCCGCTCCCGGCTGCTGCGGGAAGACGCTGGCACATGGAAGGGTGACCCACGTTCTTGCCGGGAGCAGAGCTGGGGCCGAGGACCGAGAGAGGAGGCTGGGGACGAGGAGCTGGTGTGTATCGGGCAGCGCTCCATGCCCGGCCCCAGGCATGAGCTTATTTAGGCCTCACAACAACCCTACATACGACGTGGTGGACACAACCATTACCCCGTTTTACTGTAGGGGACACTGAGGTTCCGAAAGCTGGACCCCTTACTCCATCAGGACACGCGGCCAAGAAACTGGACTGCTGACTTCAGCTCCGGGGACAGGGAAGGAAGGCGGGTAGACAGGAAGTGGGGGGGGGGGGAGGTGGCATGCTAAGTTTGTCTTAGGAGTTTGGGCTGCCAGCCCTGGGGGTGGTACATTCAGCAGGTGATCTGGGCAGAAGTTCCCCAAACTCATCCTCCATATCCCCCCTTCACGGGCATCCCGCCAAGCCCCGTAACTCCATGGTTATGGTGCGTCCGTTGCGTGCCAGGCCCTGTGCGGGGTCCTGGGGTGCCAGGGGGGCCGTACAGAACTGGCCATGCCTTTTGGGGCTCCTGGGTCTAAAGGGAGAAGGAGATGAACCGAATGATCACCCAGAGTCCAGAGGAGAGGGGCCAGGGAATGGGGAGTGGGAGGGGGGTGGGGCTCTGAGGGTGCACAGTGTGGCCAGACCTTAGAAGTGGGGTGAGGAGGAGTCTGGAGACTGAGGCGGGTAAGATGCAGGTTTGTTGAGTTAGGAGAGGAAAGATAGAGAAGAGTGTTCCAGGCATGGAGCACAGGCTTCAAGGAATCTCCCCGCTGCCTCCCCGGAGTTTTCAGCAGCCTTCCAGAAAATAAACAGGTAAGACAGTGGGGTCCCCTAATCCCAGCAGCCAAAGCCTCTGAGCCCAGCTCCTGCCCCGCTCAGACCCCCATCTCACCTATGGACAAACGTGCTGGTTGGATGCGTGAAGGA